TTCCAGCTCCTCAATAAAACTCTTAATTGTAAATTTCTAACATCCAGTTACACTTAACTTTCAGATAAGTAATAAATAATACTTCAGTATATCTTATGCAATATTTGGCCCATGCTCTTATTTCAAATATTATCCAGTTTTAAATTTGCTAAATCTTATATTTTTATTTGCTAACTCTGGAACCCTTAATAATAGACACTTTTGTTTTGCCGCTATTTGTATTTCCTAGTGTTTCTGTTATATGTATGAAGCATGCAATGAGAACAAACAAAAATCAGAATTTCATTTTTATACCTACTAAGGAAGGAAACAACTATGCCAGTGCTCCCATGGCACCCTTACCTTGATCAGCTGCAAGCTGTGCTGACTTGACGTTCTATGCCCAGGCCGGTGGAATTGGCCTCACTTCAGACAGAAGCATCGATACAAAATGCAACCCCACTAAATTTAAATCTGCACCCTAATAGGATTCCCAAGAGATGGGAAATCCTGGCACAAAACATTCCTATAAGATGATCTGTGCCAGGGAAATCTTTTAAGCTAAGTCTTCAAAATAATTGAATCACCTAAAAGAAAAAAATCCTTCAGCAAGACTAGGAAAATCCGAGACCAAGCGAAGCAATTTTTCCTGAAGCCAAGAATATAAGTAGCTCTGTGTGAGACTGGGTTCCAGCCCTTGTGTCCTGTCTGTCCTACCAGTACTGCCACACAGGCTGTTGCCAAATGACTCCAGACTCAAGGCAGGACTAGGACACTGCTGCCCTTGGAGCAGTGTAGCCGAGAGGTCCCTACCAGCTCCTCCCAAAGACCCCAGCTCCTCCCAGAGTCGCTCACAGAGGCCTGAAGCCAGCAGGTGTAGGCTACTGACCAAGGACGGGGTGAGTATTGAGGCTGCTTTGGATGGCTTGGCTGTCATTAATTTGTACTTTGTTTGATTTTGTGGGGGAGGTGTTAAATGTTTCTTTTTTTAAACTTGAATTTTTCTCTCCTACACAATACTCAGTTAAAGGTCAGATCAAGTCCAGATGAAATTACTAAACTCATTCTTTGAGCTGCTCCTAAGTGTTTTTTTATTAGTACCTGTCTGCACTGCATGATGAATACCTAAAACATGATATTGCATGAATATGCCCCATTGTGATTGACTACTGAAAACACCAACAAATTACCTTTTATGATTAGGAAGAGACCCTCTCTGGTTTCACCGATTGTAGCTACACTTTGGAAATTGGCCACAGGGGGTAAAAACATATCGACACTCCACCTTCGGAAAGGCCAAAAATATAAGACAAGCACATGCAGCACACTGGCACCAACTCTCTAGGGTTAATCTTCTCAAGCCAGCTTAGGCCATTCCTTTCCCACCTGTGTGTGTTTCACAGCATAAGCAACAACTCAAGAGCAGATGATGGGATTTTTGTTTTTGTCATTCATTCACTCGTTTGTTTTTATCTGCTTCATTCACTAGACGATATATTCCATGACAACAGGAATTTCCATCAGACTCATCCCTAGTTCATTTCTGGTACCTAGAAATGCCTGGCATTTGGGAGACACTAATACACATCTATGTGCAGAAAGAATAAACGCAGCTCACTTCCAATAGGCAACATTTTCTTTGGCCACTGTTTGTTAATTTTATATTTTTGTCTTTCAACCACAGGCTTGGATTTTAGTTAAGTATGTTGTGTTGTTCCTTTATCTTACACTAAACAATTCCTGAGTTTGTCCTGTTTCCCAAAGTAAACAAAAAAACTTTATGATATCTTGCGATATCATGTCAGCTTCTCAGTAAATTGTTTCTTCCTCTAACACATCTGCTTCTCCCTTTCACTAGCTGCAGAAGTATTTGAATTACTCTGTGCTGCAGTCTCCAAGAAGGGGAGAGAGTTCTAGAAGTCACTTATTCTTCTCTTATTTACAAAAAAGTACTTGAGATCAAAGGTGCTATATAAAGGCTCAGTGGGATGTTCCAACACGCACATGCTCGCGCTCACACACACACACACACACACACACACACACACAGAGGCCTCCAACCTTCGTAGGTACTGGTAGCTTTGGGAAGCTGTGGGAAGAGCCCCATGCAATCTCACAGGGCTCCCAGACCTGATTTCATTTACAACACTTCAGCAGAACTGAAAATGGAACAGACTGTGGGCAGATTTCCAGAGATACAGGCTGAGTGACAGGAAATGCATCAATCAACACACTTGCTACCTGCGTAGGGCTAGAAACAATCGGTAGTCACGTCCGGTTTCCCAGGGGACTCCTGGGCAACTCAATTAACCTCTTTCTGCCACATTCTCATCACGTGCAAATGGAGAACAGCAAGTTACCTAGTGAAGACTGCACAGGGACTTGCTCAAAATGTGAGCAGACAGCTATATGTGTGATACCTAATAATATTATGTTAACGAGCATAAAATTATGGGGCTACAATGACTCGAGAGGTCAATGCAGCCCTTTCACATCTGACCACAATTATACTATTCCAGAGAGATTAGATTCTAATTGCTTTTAAAAGATGCCTGCCAAAAGGAATCCCTGAAACCTCCCCTTTGCCAAAGATAATTCCTTACAGCTCAGATCCTCAAACCTGCAGCAGGAGTGGGCTGTGCTCCCCCTCTCCCTGTGTGGGCAAGGGGCTGGCGGCTGCGCTCCTGCCACTAGGAAGCTGGGCCCTTCGGAATGTCACACAGGAGCCAGACAGTCCTCAGCACAGGTACTGCCAGGCTGACTGAGGGCCCAGTGGGACTCTACTCCAGCCTTGAGTCTGACTATGCGGCCTTGAGCCAGCCCCAGGCCTCACTTCTACAAGCCTCAGTTTCTCCTCCTGTCAGGAGCAAGTGATCACCACAAGGCAGTCTTTCCCACAGTGCCTGGTCAGGGTGGCATCAAAACAGGCATTATTCTTTGAGCTGAATAAAATTAATTTCCTCACAATTCTAACCTTTAAAGTATCAATCATTTCTGTGTCTCTCTTCTGAACTCATTCTAAAGTTCCTATTTTTAACTTTTAACATAGTGTTCAAAACTGGAGAAACATGCTAGCCGAGTAAGTGGGGACGCTTCTCTCCTGGGTTTCTCCTGGGATTTGCTGGCTACAGTGAGGCTTCTCTGGCTTCTCCAGTTTTGCCCTGAGGGCCAAGGAAGCCAAGCACAGCCTGCACGGTGCTCGGAACTTGATACCGCTGTGGCTGCCAGCAGTGTAGGCTGCGCACGCTAGGTTTACAGGTCCCCACAAATAAAAACCACTGCAGCAACTTCGTGTGTGTGTGTGTGTGTGTGTGTGTGTGTGTGTGTGTGTTAGAGAGAGAGAGAGAGAGAGAGAGAGAGAGAGAGAGAGAGAGAGAATAAGTTGGAAGGAAAAAAATGAAGGGGGAAGCGAAAAGATGAAGAAGAAAGAAGGAGAAGAGGAGGAGGAGAAAAAGAGAGGAGGGGAAAGCAGAGGAAGAAGAAAGCAACAGCAGTACTAGCAGCAGCAGTGCTTTGTCCCCTATTAGCTCCAGGTACTTCCCCCATGCCAAGCAGGACTGGGCACTGCAATTACTTTCCTTAGGGGATTTGGGGCTCTCCAGATAGCAAGAGGGCTACAGGAAGCTTGTCTGGTAAATCTGAAGCCGCTAAAAGGATCTGAGAAGCAACTGAACAGAAAGGAGAGGCTGCCCTCTTCCCTCTAGCCCAGGGTCTGTGGTGCCCAAGGAAGGGGCTACACCACAGCACTTGGCAGTAGCCACGCACAGAGGGTGTAGGCTATGTGGTGTCTGCGGTCTGCCAGTATCAACAGATTCCACAGTGCACAAGTGGTTATGGGTCTGAGCCACAGGGCTTGATGCTAGAGAAAGCATACACATGGGGTGGAAGTGAGGACATCTGGAGAAAAGTGGCCCTCTGGGGTCCCTGTGGGCACCTGGGAGAAGGGGGGTTACTTCTCTAATACTCCCTAACACCTCAGTACATGCACTGAGATTCAGACCAATTGAGCATAGGGATGTTTAATTCAGCGGACAGCTTTACACTGCTAACACATTTGGGCCCTGGCAGAGGCCTGTGGGAGAGCTCATCACACGCTCCAGGGCTCTGACAGCTAGGCCTCAGGGAGAGGTTAAGCGTCCAGTCCAGGTCTGACCCCAAGTCTGCATGCCTCTTCTTCTGCCATGTTACTCCAAGTATCTTTAACCTAACTCTGACATCCAGCATTTCCAGGTGAGATTGCATTCTAATGTGGATTGAAGCCACCTTAAGGTAAGCAGGCTTATGGAATGCACAAGTGAATCTGCAGCACGCTTGCGGTTAGCTCACAGAAATAACACTCGCAGCTATGAACAGGAAAAGAGACACAATAGAAAGATGGTAAAAACAACTTGGTTTAGGGGGTTAGCAGATTATTTTTCTACTTTTCCACACATTCGAAATGTCATTTAATGGATATATCTTATGCTTACAATAAAAAATAGCAGATCGCTAAGTTACTTTTTTCAGGTAGGCTGAGAGTCAAACTACTCACACCGGAAGTGTCCACCCTAGGACACTGCACCCTTCCCACCATCTCCTAAACCATGCATGAAGCACTGGCTTTTGAGACAGATTATGCAGGATGTCACCACTTCTATGGATTTAGCCAGGGAAATGGCAGGAACAACTTCCACATTTTGACATCAATCCCAATTCTGTCCTAACATGACCTAGTCCAATCCAGAATGGCAACTTAGCAGAGGTAGTGAATGTCATTTTACAACAAACTCTAAGTCTTCCTTAGCCACTTCCCACTAGTCTCTGAAAGAACTTCCTCCTACACTGGCTAGAATGTATCTTGGATAACATAAAAGCTCCTGAGCTCTTCTGTCCTTTACAAAGGAAGGGGACAGCAAGAGTCCACTATTCTGGATGTGCCTCTCCCGCACCATCCAGTCTCCCTGGTTTGAGTCCCATCTCACAGGATCTGTGGCAAGGACAACCAGCAGCCACCAGCACGTCCTCACACGGAGGGTACTCACCTTCACACAGGCCAGTGCTCTCCAGGTAAAACTGGGCACTGCAGTGGGGTAGGCACTCGCCGGAGGGCACAGTGGCCAGGAGCTGTCCCACCTGCAGTCCCATCTCGGGGCTCCTACACTCGGTGCAGTGAGAAGGTTCAGGTCCCACACAAGTCTGGCAGGAGGCATAGCAGGCTGCACATGGAACAAAAGGTAGAGAACCCCCAAATCAAACACAGGTCGTAACTGAGGGCAGCCCCTCCTCAAGTGAACACCACTTCACAAAGTGCACCAGGTGCATCCTCTCAGATGCAGGTTTTCTAGTACTCTCTATAAACATGGGGGTGAGGGAAAGGCAGGGCAGCAAAACTAGTCACAGCTCTCAGGTCCTGTAAGGGCTGACAGGCTGGATCACAAAAAAAATGCCACAAGCAGGACAACACTGAATTAGCTCTCTACAGAAGCACATTTGCTGAGTGCCCACTGAACACTGTGCCCTGGGTTTTTATTGAAGATTTTAGAAGCATTCATGCAAAGGCCATTAATGTATCCTTTGCAAAGGTGGTTGTTGTGTTACTATTATGTCATCCACCACCCATGCAGAGAGGGGAGGCAACACATTCCTCTTAGAATTTATTGAGAGAAGGGCTGCCTTTGTAGACCAGGAAGAGGTTTCCTTTGAGTAGCAATGAAAATTGCATAATCATAGTACTGTGTTTTTCCTGATAACTGGTAAAAAAAAAAAAATCAAAGCCAAATACCACATCAAAGTCGCTTATGCCCATGTTGTGATACAATTGACTCTCCTGTTCTCTATAAAATTCTCTAAATTTTCTTTTTATAAATACTTATTACAACTGTTATGTTTTAGACATATCTTTCATGCAGCTATTCTCAAACTCTTTTCTAAGGTTCTCCACATACAAATAAATATTTCACTTAATGAAAGTGTTTGCCCTTGATGATCCAGTTTGAAAAGGCTTAAGTGCTGTGCCCACCCAGGGAGCCTGGAGCCTCTCTTGCAAACAGCAATTTAAAGTTTTCCATTTCACTCAGCCCGGAGGCACTGCTGGTGACTCTCAGTTTGTTCACAGCGTCATTAGCAAAAAGAAGTTCTTCAGGGAGAAGCAACTGAAGTCTAGGAAAGCATTAGCCATGCCAGGAGAGCACAGAAAGGAGACAAGCAGAGTTGTACTTCGTTGTAATGCATTGTAAAAGAAATAGCTTTCCCACAGGATGGCCAGAAAGCTCAGCCACTTTTCAGGGACAGCCCATATTTCCACATGATTTTTTTCCCAAATGTTATCTCATCCACAAAACTATTGCAATGAAAAATGCATAAATATATAGTTGTTCTGGAGAATCCATGGAGCTTGATTCCAGGACCCCTGCAGGTTCCAGAATCCGTAGATAATCAAGTCCCTCCTATGAAACAGTACAGTGTTTGCATATAACCCACACAATCCTCTCCTATGCAATAAACCATCACTAATTATAATGCTTAATGCAATTCCTACATATCACTTCATTTGCATGGACTCAGGATAGTCCTCAGTATGTGGAAAATTCAGGTTTTGCTTTTGGAAAATTTCTAGTTCTTTTTTTTTTTGTACTTTAAAGAAGGGTCTACGGGGTGTTCAGGGTCTCACTACTAGATCGGACTCATAGTGATTCTCCTGTTTACAGCCTCCCAAGTGCTGAGATTACAAGCGTGCACCACCACGCACAGTCTCAATTGCCATCTCAGCTCACCCCAGGACCTGTAAGGCAAGGATCGAACTCAGGCCCTTGCACTTGCCAGGCAAGCACTTATTCTACTGAGCTATGTCCCCAGCCCCATAGCTGAGCTATCTGGCCAGCCCTTAGAAGTTCTAAAAATGTTAAAAGTAGTGGTTGACTGAATCCATGGATGTAGGACATACAGAAACATAATGAGATGTCCGGCTATAGAGTGTAGAGCTGTACCAGGCACACTAGATGAAACACCAAATGGAAAGTAATATTACTAGGAAAAACAATCAGCCTATGTCTTTGTGATGGATGCTTTCTCAAGAATGATAGTGACACCAAACCGACACTACCTGCGCAGACCCCATGGTCAGCGTAGAAGCCCTCTCCACAGCTGGTCAGACAGTAGCCATGATGTAGGACTTTGGGCTGAACGCAGGATGTGCAGTGAGAGCTTGCAGGTCCAGTGCAACTGGCACACGAGCTGTGACAAGCTGAAGGAGAGGAAAATGGAAACGTAACAGGGTGCATGATGTCCGGGTGCATGTCCTGTCTGGGCGTCCTATGCGTTGGGAAGTCTCTTGGCAATCAGTCCTGGTAGATGTCACACCAAGTCAAAGGAAGAGAGGTATGTGTGTGTGTTAAATGAAAAACTGCCCACGCTACCCCTCACCCTCCTTTCACCCATGTTCTAGTGTTTACCACCCAACTGGACTTACCATTTTCTCTGTACATGCTCTAATTTTCAATCTTCATAGCATTATGAGGTGGGTATTGTTAACTACACTTTATAACTGGGGAAACTGAGGCCTTGGGAGTTTGAAACACAGACATAAGTTCACAATTCTCAGGCAGAGCAGGGCTAGGCTGTGGTTTGCCTGGACCTAAAGCCCATGTCATCCAGAGGAGGAGTGTGGAGGACCAGTGGGCCTGCAAGTTGGGAGCACAGTGATTCTGACCAGGATCTGTGAATGCAAATCTAGTTCTCCTGGGACCTGTTTTCCCTGCCAGGTGCACAGCGAGCAGCTGGACTAAGTGAAAATGAATATTTCTGGTTTTGACATTCTGGATTCTTTGGCCCTGACGTTTCTTTTTTTTCCCCATTCTTTCTTTTTGAGGCGAAGTCTCACTAAGTGGCTCAGATTGGACTAAAATGTGCGGTCTTCTTGTCTCCATCTTGCAAAATGCTGGAGTTACAGCTGGGCACCATGATACCGAGCTTAATAATGGGACATTTTGGATTGTAAGAGACAGCAGGAGTGAGCCTGCCTGGGTTGAGCCTTTCCCAGGAATTGGGACAGGAATGAGGTCCAGTGCTGGAGGACAGTGCTCAGGAGCTTGGCGGGGAGTGGGATGGCAGAATGGAAGCTGCACGCCCTGGACAAAGATGGCAAGGGTTGAACTTGGGGCAAGTAAAGAGATAGAGCAGGGTTGATAATGAGAGGTGTGTGGATACGTGCAAATAGCCTACCCTGGCAGCCAGAAGGCAGAGGTGAGGGTGTGTGTGGTTGTTTCAGAGAGGAGAAACAAACAAGGTGTCCCAGGCAGTAATATGTCCACAGACACGAATAAAAAAAGACCTAAGTCAGATATATACAAGTTGAAAATTTATAAAGTTTCAAAGTGCAATTGTCTCAATTACTCTTCTCTTATTGCTTAGACAAATACCCAACATCCAAAATGAAGGAAAGGAAGGTTTATTTAGCTCACAGTTAGTGGAGGTTTTAGTCCACACTCAGCTGGCTCCAAGGCAGAGGGGCACATGGCAGCACACAGCAGCCATTCAGGCCCCTAGCAAAGAGCCAAAAGAGAGAGCCAAGGGAGTGGCACAGCTCAGGCAGCTAGCCAGCCTCTCCCCTCCTCACACTGTAATGCAAATTACCTGCCCCAGGGCGAGTACTGCACCCACACCCACAATAATCAATCACAAACTCCAGAAGCCGCCCCATGACTGCATGAGGCTTCAGGGGGACACCTAGACACAAACCATAACAGCAATGTTTCATAGTCTGAGTTGTATTAGTCTAAAAGGAGCAATTCATAAACATGACATACAAACAAATTTTCAGTGGGTACAGACGTCAGCCTTACAAGCTGTCAAATCTGGTTCTCTTATTTATTTCATTTTTGAGGTATTTTGCAGTTGACAACCTATAGTTTACCAATGGCATGTAAGGACGATTTTACCTCCCTAAGCTAGGGCAGTCACGGATGACATGCACACAGGACAGCATGGTAAAGACGCTGGTGACCCTGCAGATGGACCTGTAAGAAGGACTGAATGGCAACTATCCACACATAATTCCCATTCCCACACCAAGCCCAGGTTCCACAGCGAAACAACTACCCTTGGAGAGCAGCACTTTCCATCACAAAAACAAACTCCCTAGTGAACAGCACACAATTATGCACTAAATACTGTATGACACTGATGACCCGTCTCTCACCTTTACATCTGCTGCTGGCATCAGCATAGAATCCACCAGGACACTCTGAAACACATGTCCCGCCATGTAGCAGCATACTCTCAGTGCAGGTCAGACATCTGGGGCTGCTGGGACCGCAGCTCTTACAGGACTGGTCACAAGCTAAAGAGAGGAAAAACCCATCAGAGAAGAGCAAGAGTGAGGAAACCCGCCATGAAGCCCGCTCTTAGCAATGTCCGCCTGGGTACCGATCACTGAAGCTGTCTCGTGTTCCGGTTGCGCAGGCAGAGCCTCCTCAGCCTATGTTTTTCACAGTTGAAGAACTGAAAAATTATTCACTGAACTAACCACAACAAATACTAAGGCACACCCACCGGTGTATACAACTTAATAAGGGATTTGTCAAAATGGCCTTGGAGGTAGGGCTGCCAGATTTAGCAAATAAAAATGTCTGGTGTCCAGTTAGATTTCAATTTCAGATAAATAATACATTTTCAGTGTAAGTATGCACCGAATAGCCTTTATTTTAACCTAACATGAAAATTTAGCGTTCTACAAAGCAAGATTACACTACTAACGTTATATTGAAATTGTCGAACTTCATACAGTCTTCTAGGATCTACACATTCATTTACCCTCCAAAACATTTATTAAGTTCTGTATCAGTTGTTGTGCTAGGTGGCAAGGACATAAAGATCAAATCAATTTGGTCTTCAATTTAAACAACTAATTTGTCTAAAAGAGAGAAAGGAAATAGATAATACTACAAACATTAAATCTTTCAAAATGGTCCATACAGACATAATAATATTTTTAATAGGTTTGTGGGGTAGGAGTTAGGAAAGGTCAAGCAAAGATTCAGAGAAGAACCAATCCTTGGGTACCACCATAGAAAGTGAGTCAACCCAGGCCAGCCTAATAGCAAGGTCACCAAGCAGCAACGTCAGGGCTAGAACCTGGAAGAGACTGAACTAGCCAGGAAAACTAGCTCATTCAGCTAGCAGTGAGAAGGGCTGGCTATGAAAACCTAGCCATGTCTACATTCATATCTATGGAAGGCAAAGGAGCCCTGGCTGTTCTGATCACACAGAAACATGGTTGAGGGTGAGGAGATAGCTCAGCAGCATTACCACCTGCCTGGCAAGTGCAAGGTCCTGAGTTCAATTCTCAGTACTGTAAAACAAAAAAATAAGTATAGGAACATGGGCCCGCC